GTGGCATTTAACCCAACTCACTCCCTCACAGTCTAAATTTGACGCCGTGATATAACTGGAATACTGTTTAAAGCGGCGTTAAACCCAACTCACTCATTCACTCACTCACATTCTAAATTTGATGTTGTTCATCTAACAGAACCATTACGTTATCATTACGTAAAACCTGTCCGGAACCAGCTCACAACGACGATCTGCGCTGCTCTTTCGGTACAGCCATACACACGACACCCTCATTGTACGTTAATGCGATGAGATCACATGCGTTGATAATAGGCGACGCAGGTTTTGGGGCGAAAGGCAGATGGTAACGCACGGGAACATGTTGCACGAAATGTTTACCAAGTGTCACGTGTTTAAGATAACATAAGGTTTCATTTATGCTTTCATTGATGATTATATATTACAGTCTAATGATTAAAGCGTTCGCCCGTCGCGCCGAAGACCAGAGCTCGATTCCCCACGTGGGTTCAATGTGTCAAGTCCATGTAGGTGTCCCCCGCCGTTCCATTGCTGGAATATTGCTAAAAACGTCGTAAAACCTATTCATATATGTAACACGCTGTCCCTATCTATCATCTTCCCGAGGCAAGGGAGTTAAATGACTCTAAAAATTCCAGTTTCCACTCTTGCCGCGAGGCTGGAATTTCTGGGCTCGATCATAGCACCACCAGTGACTATGTCTCTTCTATGTCCCTCCTATTGACCAATCAGATTCCACCTCTTATATCACTTACATTTACTTCAAACAAAATGGCGGTGCCCAGTCAAGATTAATAAAACGGGTCTTACCCTGCGAAGTGCATCAAAACACGTGAGTACCTTAGTTAAAACATGAAAAGATTTGCAAAATATCTGTCGATTACCAGTTGACGGTATACATCCTTTGCAAATCCTGCAGTCGACCAAAATCTTCACGTTGAATCCATGTTATTTTTTAACCAGTTGTCGATTTCGTTGCGAGATTTTGATTGGTCTATGCATAGACTCCTTAGTCCAGCCAGACTATAACTCCATAATTCCAGCCGAGTTTGGCAAGGGTGAAAACTGGACTTTTAAAGTCAGTTAACTCCCTTGCCTCGGGAAGATGATAGCTATAAACATATTAATGCCTTTTTGTCTTTATTTGTTTTATCTTTATTATAATCATCATTATTAGTATTATTATTATTATTATTATTATTAGTTACAGATTAAAATATATAAAAATGCAGCAAGGGGGCTTGGGTGATCCTGGTACAGTCAGGGTGGTTAGGCTCAACATCAGCTCAGGGCCCTTACCCCCTCGTCACGCAGCTCAGACAGCGAGTGGGACTTCTCACAGGAAGCGCTGCCCAGTCGAACCCACCCAGAATTTTTCGGAGAGTGTGAAAACTCCCCAGCACTGCAGCATTCTGCATTACCCAGATTGTCAGAAGGGCTGTATTCCCTCCCAAATCCGGGTCCTCTCCCAATGTCAGTCAACACATATGGGGGTACAAAACCAAAGAGAACATCGAGAACAATGGCGAGTCGGACAACATGACACATGGGATACAAGCGTAACATTTCGAAAGCGAGGTCTGCATATTTACCATGTTTTTCCTGTATCTTATCAATCACATTAGTGTCCACAGAGACAGAAAATTCAATAATATAAATGATTTCAATGGATTTATAAAAAAGGGACAAGATCAGGTTTGTTGTCCTGAATAGATCTGAGGCTGTATACGGGCCTATTCCAAAGAATTTTATATTGATCATTTTCCATGACGTCCTCTACATATTCTGGGTCGTACCATAGATGGGCCTGTGTGTCAAAACCACAAGCATGTCGAAGGTAATAAAATGATCGCGCCACTCCATAGTGACATCTCAATTCATGACACTTCTTTAAAATGAGGGGGCGCGGGTGGCCCAGTCGTCTAAGGCGCCGCGATTCACTGTGCAGAGTTGCGTCCCTTGGGCACGCCAGAAACCTATGATTGTGGGTTCGAATCCCGGTTCGCCCCGATTATGTTTCTAGGTTTGTCAGCACCATACCCGTGCTCGTGGGTTTCACCGAAGTGGTAAACGTCTGAGACCTGCATCACTTCGGGCTTTTCTCCCACATTAGGCTGACACGCCGTGATATAACTGGAATACTGTTAAAAGCGGCGCTAAACACAACTCACTCACTCACTCTTCAAAATGAAAGTAAAAATGAAAAGTTTACTGAGAAAACAATATGTGAAATGGTGGATTTCCTCATTGGTAGCACCTATACATGTTAAATTTGGGGACAGGACACTTAGGCATCAATCCCCATGGGCACCAATTGTGCTCCCCTCTTTGGTGATCTGTTCCTTTATGCATATCCGTCAGAATTTCTGCTGGGATTTGCGAACTCAAAACAAAGGAATTTGGTCAATTAGTAAACATGTTTCTGGTATCGTTCAATAATGGTAAAACAGCCAATTCCATTCCACTGATTTACGTTCCTGGGCTTATCTGTTCTCAGTTTAGATCTATGCATAAAGATGCAGAGTGTCAGAAACTATCCTCAAGGACTGTAACGACAAGAAAGTTGACATCCAATTTCTAAACGTAAACTTCCCCTTCATGTCGAGCAATATTCCATCTCCAGCATTGATGTCTACATTCAACTTTTGAGGTAGGATCGAGCATGCTCTTTCTACGAAGATTTCAAAGAGCGTCATACGTCACTAACTGAGAAGTTGTTTGATCAGGGTTAACAAATGCAAGGTAGTGAGCTGAAATGGGGTTTAACGTCTCGTCCAAGATTATTGCACTTATATAGAGACGTGAATGCACTGTGTGGCTGCTTGTACTAATTTCCGATTTTATAGTGCTAGCCCACTGAGATACCATGCCGCAGTTTAACATGAATACCCCACTCAGACAGTATAATGACTCCTAGCCGACCATACCTTGTTTTATCCCCTAAAGCCGAGCGACAGCAAGTACCATCTTTTAACGTACTTTGGTATGACGCGTTTTAGGTCCGAACCCCGGACCTTCCGCTCTCCGGGCGGACGCTCTACCACTAGACCACGGAGGCGGTCCTATCAAAACTATTGTCGATTCTATATATGGTGTTATGTAATTTTTGTGTGAACTGAATCTGTTGTATTGTCATTATTTTCCGTTTTCTTGATATCTATACTGGTTTCTGTTAGTACATGCTGATGCCACCTTCACTGTTCACTTCTGGAAATCACTGTTCATTAGGCACCCCAAGCCGACGGCCGCAACACGAAACCAGCTTTAACAGTCCGCTAACTGTGTCATATGCACTTTTTGGAAGGAACACGAATAATAAGGACTCTTAATGACCAGCACCAAAACGTATTTAAAGTGACGGAATATTTCTTTTAGTTGTTATGAAACTTAATAATAGCCTATAGTACAGTCCAAAACATGGAAGTGTTGAAGGGTAACCTTTTTTAGTCAGAATATGAATACATTTGATAATGATACAAAAAAAAGTTGCGGCATGTCATTCTTATGTTGGAGGGAAGGTTACTGTAACACGGTACAGGTCCTGACGTTCATCACTGTGGTAACCATGAATACTGTAACACTGTAATGAACGCATTAGCACTGCAATGGTATCTTTATACCACACTCATAATCAGGACGGATATAGGATCCAAACTCATAATAAGCGGATCCTGGCACACCTATGAGGTGCAACTCTTCACGGCGTATTACTTGTACTGTCAGATCACAAGTTCATGTACAGTTATACCTTACGTACGTGCAGGGAAGATGAACAAACGGCTGATTGCCATAGAAACGGGACACTACCACACACACACACACACACACACACACACACACACACACACACACACACACACACACACTCTGACAAGTCACTTAACGTTACCATCTGGTCTCAATCAAGTTTCATTTTAGTCTACGGGTGTGATGATTCACTGTTCGATGCGTGGTAAAAATCGGTTACGGTCGAGTAGTCGAGTATCTTATTGGCAGACCATGCATCGATACAAAACGATACAAAACGACACAAGGAAACTACCCCCATGTTTGGTGATGATTAATAATGAAACAAGCAAAACATGGCTGTTCAAAAGTGATGTAATAAGAAGAGTGAACAAGGTCTTGTCATGGTCAGTTTAAGCTGGTTCCCAGATACCAGACATTAAGCCTTGTACCGTTTTGATAACATTTGGTCAAATCCAATTTTCAAGTGTATACTTTCTCTTGCCCGGCAGTTTATACACTAGAGTGAGTGGGTTGGTTTTAACTATATTTTTAGTAATTTCACGGCGTGTCACCTCGATGTGGCAGAAAAGCCCAAGGTGATGCAGATTTTCTACCATGCTTTCAAAGCGAAAGAGTACCTTGATGCAGGAGACATGTTGAATGTACATACATGATGAAATCACTACTTTTTGTTTGTATGTACAATAAGTCTCAAACTAATGTTTTGTTAATTGACTCAAATCTACTAAAACATTTGACTGAGGCTACTTTTTACAACTTTTGATATTCCTCAAACTGACGAATTCCATGTGTCGTATTGTGTATCCTATCGAGACCTTGGAATAGAGATATGTACCATATCACAAAGATGAGTACCGTTATGGCACTATAACACGTCATGGGGACCTATACTCCCCATAGGAGACAATCACAAATGAATTAGTAATGATTTAACAATAATCAACCCCAGCAACAGTCATCATCGGTGATTTTTTTCAGCAATTGAAAAAAAGTTTCTCCTTTTTTAAAAAGTTCACAAAATCAGAAGAGTGACAATCTAATTATGTACGTAATTTGAAAACGAACAATTCAAGAAAGTGGTTAGAGCCAGTAACGTCTCTCTATCATCGCCAAACTTTTATTGCCATTCAATACGGTAGCACGCGAACAGATGCGGAGTCGTTAGTAGATTGTATCACATGAATGGCGTCATAGAAGCATTACATCATCAGCATCGTTTGACAACAAGTCGTAGAGCAGCCGACAGAAGCCGACAGCATGGCCTCTCCGACTGCTGAATGGCTGGGAATATAATTGCAGTCGCTAATAGGACAATTTGTTACTTCGATCAATTGACGAGCCAGGGTTCGTTGTATACTGTGTTGAAAATCACAGGGCCTAATCGTCCATTCAAGTTTAACTATGGACGGAGTCTATGCATTATAATCAATCCTACCGTCAGCTGAACGACATGAATATATCATTTGGCCTCTTTCTCACTGCACATCCGGGGCTGTAGAAACAAGCGGACTTTTCTCGGAGTCGCGTTCATCTCAACGTCTGCACACGCGCCCCAATCCACTGTTGAAGGACAGTAGGATGACTTAACACTAGGAACCAGCAACGTTCACTAACTGTATAGGGCTGTGGACCCACCTGAGGACTGACGCCGGACGGTGTCGCCTTTAGCTAGCTTGGGTGAATGCATATAACCCGGGTGGTACGACGTTGTTGCCCCGGCCCCCCGTGCCGCCACGGTAATCTAACTCAGCCTCGGTGCCTGTTCGACGACAGTTCAGGTGCTAACGAGGATAATAGCAACAACTCCAAATATCGGAAATTTCCGTATATCCGCGTGTTTTTCTAAATAATCTGTTACACTTGTTCCATCGTCAGAGCGCCGAAGCGAAAAATCAATAATTTTCTCATTTTATATGCTGGAGCTCCACCAGGAGGTAGATTTCAGATTCTGCGAGCCTGTCTCACTGCTGGAAGAGCTTGTTACCATCTACAGGTCGGTGTAGTGTTCTGGAAGCTTCTTGCGGTGCCGTTACTGGGGTACTAGCTACCCGTTCTCCCACACCTGTGTCACCAAAGCCTCGAGTTTGGGCTGTGAATGCGGAATTTCGTCCAATACATCGAAACGAGTAATGGAGGCAGCGAGAGACAAAATGGCGGCTGAATGACAGCAACGGTGTTCAGTGAACGGTGCATGGGCTGTGATCGTTCGTGTTGTGTATTCGCTTGGCTATAGACTTATTCGGCGACAGGTAGGTGGATGTTCCTTTACAAATTTCAGCGAAGCACATCTTTAAGGAATAGGTACATCTGTACTGATGATTATATAACACTTTGAGCTCTCAGCCGCACAACGCATCATTTTTCAGTATAGAATTGCTAATTATGACACCTTATCAGACACAAGCTGCACTTTGTTTCTGTATGTGCAAGGGTCAGAATTTTTGTGACCTCAATTAACAATATGGATGATTCATTGTCGCCCCATGCTGAATTATTTACTCGGTTTATTTATGTCGATTTTTTACTAGAAGCTTCTAACTTCCGATGGGTTAAGTAAGACACGCGGTTAGCGTGTACGGCACGAAAATAAGGGGTGAGGTCCAGCCTAGGGGTAGAGTCACACAAGCTCACGTGACCTAGCAAATGATTGAAACTACCCCCCAACCTTCATCATCACAGATGCAGTGTTTCATAATTCATACACTCCTCTTCGACCAAACTCTCTTAAGAGACAGAGGTCTCTTGAGGTTTGGAGGGAGGTTGGGCTATTCCTTGGAGTTCCTGGTCGTGGTCCTGGAACCAAACCAGTAAATATATAAACCATGAAAAGGACAAACCCAGAAGCACAGATCATACTGTATGATCCATAACGGTATCTGCCACGTGGCCGGTCCGTTAGACTGACCGATGTGGCCAGATGGATAAACCGGGTTATGGACATGTTCAGTGGAGCGGATCCCGGATCATTAACTCGGTGTCACCCAATGGGATAATCTTGCCCAAGGGAAGTCAAAGTTCTTCCGATGTGGAACAGACGAGGTCTGAGCTCCAGCAAACGGGACTCTGTTCCTTTCGGAATATAAGTGGCATCAGTAGAGATATTGGTGCCCTTCACCACATGTTCAGACAAACCCCGTATTGATCGCGCTTGCTTGCAAACTCTGTATCTACGTAATGCAACAGCACCGTGTATGCAAGGCGGTTCGTACACAGCCGACAGTCGGCGACACCGGGGGGCAGCGCATAATGGCCACACGCCGAGCCTTTGTTCCCTGTACCCTTTCACGCCCTTGAAACATCACCCACAACCCACTGATGTTACAGTCAGTATTTGTAATATGTAATTTATTATTTATTTATTTCATGGTTACTGATTCGTGCCATCTGGACCGCTCTTTTACATTAGGAATATGATGCTTGGATGTCGAATATAATACTTCGGAAATGATGTTTCCGCGTTGATGTGTAGGCTTATTGAAGCATACGGTCACTGTTCTTCATGACCAGTTGGGTAGAAGACAGTGTTGCTGTAATAAGAAGACACTATTTATGTTGAAATATTACTGGGAGGACTTCCACTTCCGCCAACTTAGCATGCACACCGGAATTGAACCCTCAATGTCAACGTTCAAAACTTAAGCAGCTTCTTTGCTCGGTATTTCTTTCAAAGTCATATTTTAACAGACATTTTTTTGCTGTTCTTCATTCACTCTTTCATTTTATAAATGAATATGCTTTTTCTTCAATGGGATGATTTTCGGTCATTTCTCTTCTTTTGCTAATAATTTGTTTAAATATATGGTTAATATATACCTCCATTCTTTTAATATTCATTGAAAGAAAATCAGTTATTTGATCTCATTATTTATTTAAATAGTTATACATGTTACATTTAATTTTACCTTCAGACCAGGGCCACTTGCACAAAACGATCTTAGCGCTAAGATTATCGTAACTCCCATACTTTAACATAGCCTTACAATAGTCGTAGTGCTAAGATCGCTTTGTGCAAGAGGGCCCTAGCATTGCTGTAAGATAACAGCACGGTTACTTTAAACATCAACTAACTGTTGTTATTAATAATTGAAATGGACCCACTGTGCATAACGGACGCTGCCATGTGATGTTAAATAATTATAAGGTACGACTTGAATGCAACGCTGACAATCCGGACACCGCACATACCGAACTGATAAGAACGTATACATCAACAGTGATGTCAGGGTTAACGAGGTTTCGTTGTGAACACAAAGGGGTTATTAACGTTACTCATATTTTGAATCCTTAACGTTACTCATATTTTGAATCCGCGAACCCTCACGTATGGAAGCGTGGAATATGTCGTTGCCAGTGCAACACCTGCTGGCGCTAGTTCACATGCGTCAACATCCAGCGAGACAGGTGTGACCGTAATTTTGCCACTGGGGATCATCTTGTGGAATGTAATTAGCTTCACTCATATTCTAGGCGAATCAATAGCAGTCTCATTTCTGTCACTCAATTGTCAGGACACACACAAATCAATCAGGCCGGGTATTTCAAATATGTTGGAAATAGTTTTACTTGTAAGTCAAGTATTAACATGAAACATCATTCATGGTCGATTTTAGGCATAAACATATATTGACAAATTATAGATAATTTTAATGTACGTGCATTCACCAGAACACGTTTATTTACACATCATAGAGTTATTTTTTTCAATTCGGAGACATATGTTTCACATATGATCACATGGAAATCGTTATTGGCTCATTTGCCTTAACGTCCAAAGATTCAAAAGGCTGATTCCTTTGTATCTATGAAACGCTCTCTTAAAATCGATACGATAACCATATACACTTGTTGTATTGTTTGTGTTTGAAACTATGGATTTATGATCAGCAAAGCATGAAAGATATGTGTTTATTAATGGTTGAATAGGTCGGCTGTAATGAATCAGGTACATGCTACAAACGGCTTTAGCTGTATGCGAGGATAGCCTCGATTGTGTTTTGGTTTGTTGTTTAACGCCGCACTCAGCATTATTCCAGCTATATGACGTCAGCCTTTGAATAATCGAGTCTGGACCAGACAATCCAGTAATTGACATCATGATCATTGATCCACGAAATTGGTATACGATGACATGCATCAACCAAGTCAGCGAGCCTGACCACCCAGTCCCGTTGGTCGCCTCTTACGACAAGCATGGTCGCCTTGTACGGCTAGCATGGGTTGCTGAAGACCTGTTCTAACCCGGACCATAGCTACTATCCAGGATAAGGGCCCGTGTTTTCCACAGCGCTGCCCTCAATCTGGGCATCAAAGTGTTTCAAGTAGATGAAACAGGGTATGTAGGTTATATAAGCGTCGGCCGTGACATATGTTCAATATATGTCATTGGTCCTTCTACAACATCTATGTCAGCTGTCGCAACAAAAACATTATTTGAATTTGTACGTAACTTTAATGTTGCCTTTTAGCATTATGAAACACTTTCTACTGAAACAATATCACTCTACCGCTGTAGGCAATCGAACCTATATTTCCCCGTCAGAGCAATTACAGACACGACGCCTCCTCAGTTGAGTATCATTTAATATAGATGACTCATATCTATCCATCATGAGGGCCGATGTTTGTCTCTTAACAGCCCTGAAAGAGTGTATGCATTACCTCTAAGACATCTATTGTGGGTTATCGACAACGCGACAAAAAACTTTATCTATTCACATTGAGGGCTACCAGTAGTTGCAATAAGGACCTTAATAAGAATTTGTTTCAAATTGAAATAGCTTCATAGTGAACCATGCATGGCTTCAAAGGCTATCATCGCAACGTTACTGTGAGTCTAAATGAAGCTGATTGTTCACTAATTACACATCTGTAGCATACGCACATGCGCAACAGGGTCATTGTTGGTGGCATTACTAAATGAGTCAATAGAGGCGATGTAGGTTACGAGAGTAATTATCGCTTCATTCGTGTAACCTATACGTGACATTACGGGCTCACGTTCCAGTCAGAGTTGAAAGTCTGGCTGAAATCAACATCAGAAATGTACGCGTCCGTATGCCTTAGTCTCATTATCCATGTGTGTGTTGAACTGAAACACCGAGTGAAATTGACATGACATTATATGCGATAAAACAAACTCTAATGATTGACGGGGGCACGGGTGGCCCAGTCGTCTAAGGCGCCGCGATTCGCTGTGCAGAGTTGCGTCCCTTGGACACGCCAGAAACCTATGATTGTGGGTTCGGATCCCGGTTCGCCCCAATTATGTTTCTAGGTTTGTCAGCACCATACCCGTGCCCGTGGGTTTCACCGAAGTGGTAAACGTCTGAGACCTGCATCACTTCGGGCTTTCCTCCCACTTTAAGCTGAGACGCCGCGATATAACTGGAATACTGGTAAAAGCGGCGTTAAACCCAACTCACTCACTCACTCACTCTAATGATTGACAAATGTTACGTAATGATATTTATAAATGACAAATGAAAAAAGTTGAATGAGTGTGGAACTCATTGAGTGAGTGAGTGAGTTTGGTTTGACGCAGTGTTTCAGTTATATCACGATGTGTCAGCTTGATGTGGGAAGAAGCAGAGCCCCGTTCCACAAAGTGATCTTAGCACTAACATGATCGTAACTGCCATACTTTAACAGGCCCACGGTAGTCGTAGCGCTAAGATCGCTTTGTGGAACGGGGTCCAGGGACCCATCTTAGCGCTACGACTGTCGTAAGTCAGTGATAAAGAATGGGAGTTACGACCGACTTAGCGCTAAGACCGCTTTGTGGAACGGGGTTCAGGCCTTAAACTTGACCATGAGTACGGGTATGGTGCTGACAAACCTAGAAATATGATTAGGGCGAACAAGGATTTGAACCACGATCATGAGTTTCTGGCGTAACATCGGCTAAAACAACTCAGCTGTACCCCACGACTTTTTACGTCGCAGATCAAGCTTGTAATATATCCTTCTTCCAATGCGACTGGGGGTGGGGGGCGGTGAGCTGAAACCAAGGACCGTGGGTTCGAATCCCAGATCCGCCCCGATTTTTTTTCTGTGTTTGTCAGCATCATACCCGCACTCATGGGTTTCACTAAAGTTGAAAACATTCCTGATTACCCCAGCAGCTTCAGAAACCGCGTTCCCCGCCTTTTCAACTGTAATACTTTATCTAATATAATAGTATTCATCATTACATTGCAGTGCGAAACGTCAACGACATAATATGATACGTCATAATTATCTGCCGAAACAG